CTAATATTTCTCATTCATTTTTGACTGTATCAGTCAATGATTTCGACATTTGATTTTAGATCCACGTTATCAGTATTTCACTAAAACCGACGATTCGTCTTAGTTCTTGTAAAACACTTGAAACTTAACTTGAGTTCTGTAAGGAACCGATGTTTCCAATGTTTTACTATTTCTTTACTAGTTTTCTACTTATCTTTCTATTGAATTGGTCTAGTCTATCATGGTAACGTCGATTTATAGTTTTAAAAAATCGATTTTAGTATGCTGCAATATATAAGAATAGATAATGCTATAAAATTCTCTATTGGTTCAATGCTTTTTAACTAATATATATTTCTGTTGCCTCATCTTTAATAAGTAACGAATCGCGTAAACAAAGCAAAAAAACAGTTGATGTGAATAGTGTCGGTAGCCTAAGCATACTCACACACGCATGGGAGCGCGATTCCAAAACATATCTGACATTTTTCCAAAACTAAAAAAAAGTATTGATGCAGTTACATCAAGAAAAGTTTCATGCCAAACAACTGCTGTTAACCGACAATTTTTGATCGATTATGAAGAAGTGAGGCGGTTATTCTGAAGAAACTGATTGAATCTTGAACGTAGGAATACGATGATTGACTACAAACGGTTCTCTCCGTTAAAAAAAAAGGCAACCACCCAGTAGGAATATATTATTCCTACATTCGAGACTAGATCATTTTTCGGTGGGGGCGGGCCAATTTCTAGGTTTTTATTTGTGCGCAGGATATAACAGAAAAGAAATATGTTTCGTTAAATTGCAGCACAATCGAATTTCATGAAGTCTTAATATGTTATATGCGTAATCAGCATCGTTCAGACAATGCACCAGAATCTAATCAGGCTTGAAGATTCGACTGCGGACTGATCCGAACCCAAATGTATTGAATACGAGATATACTAAAATTTATTCTTACACATATTGAAAGAATTGTATATAAATAGGAACGGAAGTAATGATTGTCTGTTTGTGATTGATCCGTTGTTTTATCATATCACTTGTAACAAATTTTTTCATGTCACATAACAAATCATTCTCAAATAGAGTAAATGCATCAAATGGGTAAGTTTCTGAGTAAAAAGTTGAAAAATACAATGACGGCGCCATCGATCAATGCCCAAGAATGAGCATTTGTAGAGAAGCCATAGTAATTGTATGGATTCCTATTGTTATCAGATGCTTTTATTATCTGTAGTAACAAATCCTTTCGAATCTCAAGTATACGGATTTTGTGTATAATCAGTATCATTTACTCGACAAACATATTATATTTAAAGTCATAAAAAAAATATTTTCTCTTACCATCATTAAAACAGTTGACGCATTAGAAAGGTCATTATTTCTCTTGCAAAAACTGATATGTAAAATGTAAGAAGAAAATTTCTCATGTTCAAAATTGAGAGAAACAATATAAGATTGAATAAATATTTTGATAGTTTTATCTATTGTTTCTCTTTTAACTAGTATAAATCAGAAAGAAAAACGGAATTGTCATACTTTATTGAACATAGATCGATCACCGACTAAACATTTATAATTGCATTTCTTCCATTCACTCCAAACTCGTGCTGTACGAGGTGGGGTGCTACCACCGACGATTCTAGTTTTTATATCCTGCAAATTTTTATTATCTTCAATAATGTTAACTAGATTTCCAACATTAATACGAATAGCAGCATCTTGTTGTCCATTTATATCTTGACCAACTTGTGCACCAATAAACAGATTTGAATTATCAACAACAATATGTATATTCAATCATGATCTATACAAGTGAAAAGATTTATTTTCAAATCCCTAAAATATCATTTATCTATTGTTACTTGCCTTGAAAAGTTGGAGCCATTTTTACTAGATGATAACATGATTTTGTTACAAAAAGTATGCCAATGAGACGAATCGAAATCTATTTATTAGTAAATAATACTTTCATTTCTATCAAACACCAAGTAAATTTATTTAATTTGCCTTCAAACACTACTATTGATCTCAAGAACATGACTAGTTCATTGTTTTGAAATAAATGTGTATTTTTTAAGAGATACTCTCGGTTCAAAATGAATTTCGATGTGTACTCCAAAAGCACCCAAGTATCAAAAAATATTTCAGGTTTATAATGATTATCCTGTATATTGTAAAACAAACTGCTACTTGAATCTGGTCATCAAGTAAATAGCGAACTCAAATTCAGCTTATAATTATATAACAGCTCATTGAGAAACATGAAATTCTAGGGATCGAACGAAACTTGAAAGAAATGATCGTTTTACGCTTGAAACCACAGCATTTAACTCATTAAAAGTTTGAAGCTTAAGAATAAAAGTGAATTCGCAAGTGTTAAAATTAGAGAAGTCTAGTTTTCTTAACAAAAAAAGGGGTATACATTTTTAATGTCTTGAAATGGGTGCTTTTTACACGTAAAAATCTTAGTCTGTATATAATATACGCACAACTTATTTATTCTGGTGAATTCTTTTCTTCTATCCTACTATAACAAACCACAAGACACATAAAAACAGACTTTTTTCTTTTCTGTTATCATTTTCTCTTCGCAGCTGATGGCAAAGACTGTGTGATTTTATGAAAAGAAATCCCTGAGAATGAGAAAAAAAAGGTGAAGAGTGTGAGTGTAAGTTTTTTTGCGATGAGAAAACTCTTTAGAGTCCTGTATCGGACGTTACAACTCGAATCCGATGGGGTTGGAACCAGAGTTACCGAAAGCAATTTTTCCTAGTCAGAGTTGAAGTCGAAATGATCGTGAAGAACGTTTTCTTGGAGTCAATGCCTGGATTACATAAGTAAAGAATGAAGCATTTTAATTTTTACATAGTGACAAGTTTTTTTACGCGTTAAGTAATAAACAAAATTATACTACTACCTAGACTCGTAAATACGCTTCAAGAAAAAAAGTATCAGAGGGATATTTTCATTAACAAGCAGCACAAAAATGTATATCGTATTCAAAAAACGTTTTCGTAGTTTCTTGAAGTCAAAGTTGTACTTCGGAGTGAAAACGTTTAACTCTACAGGGCCCTAAATTTCACTATCACACTTGCACCAACAGTTTACTGATGTCACATAATTTGAAGTACTTTGACACAATTCAGAGTACTTCGACGTAATTTAAAAGTGCTTCGGTATACTTGAAATTATTTCTCAATGCTTTCAGCGACTCCTAAATATTTCGAACTACTTTTGTACTTTCATGTATTTTTCAACTTGAAGTACTCTGTTTTCCATTAGACAAAAAGATATAATGTTAATATTTGGTAGATTTTCATTACATTTTAAACCACATCAATCACTAATGGCCAACTTTTTAGCTATCTGCAACAACTTGGTTACAACCTGTCTCAAAATCAAAGACAAAACAAGATGTATGCCAACTTAATAATTTACAATATTGATATGGAAATGAACGGCAATCAAGAGAAGGCAACAATTGTAGAAGAAGTAATCTTCAAGGAAGAACACCTTTATGTAATAATCAGCAAAGTAAGGTTTATCTTAGAATCTTTTCATTGCAGAGTTCTTCGTTGTAGTTGTTTCTTTTTATGTTACATGCTACAAGGTGTTGTGCAGATGAGACAACAATTGATCTGCAACCAATTATTGATTGAATTGTGAATCACGTCTGTGCCTCGATGAGTAGTTTGAATGGAGATGTTCCTATTCTAAATTTTTTTAATCATATTTCAAGTTGAATAGCTTCAAGATTTGAGTGTGTTGGGTGGGTGTGGGTATGGTTGGGGTGTAGGTGTTCGTGTGGAGTTCGATAAATAGTAGACACACACGTACATCCACACCCCAACGAAAGTTGTGCCTGCACGTGTAGATGTCGGTCTTGTCTTGAAATAATATTCACACCGAAAGCTCACGCCCACATACGTATAGCCAGAGCCTTTTGCGTCTTTGTTCTTTTATGTTGTTTCTAAGATTAGCAACTGAATTTGACGGGATTTGTTGCTAACCGAATGAAGAAAGAAATAATTTTCTCTTATTTCTTTCTGCGTCTTTGTTGTTTTCTCTTGCTTTTATGATTGCTGACTGAGTTTCTTTACACGCGTCATACAGCTTCACATTTGCACACCAATCATCAATAACTGCGTCATTGACTGCCGCACCTGTATGTATATTACAGCTGGAAGAAATTGTTTGCATTCACATATTATTCATTTCAGTTTTGCGTGCAAGAGCATTGCATACACGCGTAACTACGATCGTGTTGCTTGTCTAAGAGGTATCAAAATACATTGGTAAGTGTCGCATTTTGTATTGAAGCGAATATTTATTCGATTGTTGATTATCACCTAAGACCAGTTGATAGACGTGAACAAAATTTATGTAAAATGCAAGACGAAGACAGTCCGTAGAGTGCCACACTACGTGAAATCGATCGAAAAAGTACCTTAAGACTCTCTTGTATTGACAATATTTCATCGAACATAACTGTAAAACAACGCTGCGAGACACATTACCTACTACAAACATGGAACAAAAAATGAATTCCATGATTGACGATTGTATTGCTGTTTGGCTCGATTCAAATGCGAATGCAAAAATAGATTCCATTGCGGAACTCCATCGTGCATTCAAATATGTTAGAACATTCTGCGAAATTTTTCCATGTGTAAATTTTTTACGAGATATTCACAATCAGAAAGTATTCCTAATCTTGTCCGATGCTTTCGCTGACATTGTTGTACCGCTGGTCCATGATTTACTTGAGGTAGTCTCTATTTATATTTTATCAGACAACAAATTGAAGTATGGACAGTTATTGGAAGAATGGAGAAAAGTTAAAGGTATTTACGACAGTATAGCATTTATTTGTGTACGACTTATGAGAAAACTTGAGCAGTACGAAAATAATTTTGTACCCATCAGTATAATCTCACCGTCATCTATTCTTGATTTGAATGAGCTCGATCCTTCATTTATGTATACAAAACTACTGAAAGAAATTTTTCTCGAAATGGAGCACGACGAACAAGCCAAAATAGAATTTATTGAATTCTGCCGGGATCAAGATAATGCTATGCAGCTGTCTACATTAGAAGACTTCAAAAGAGATTTCGAATATAAATCGCCCATTTGGTGGTACACAAAAGAACCCTTCATTTATGTGACACTTAATAGAGCACTAAGAACCCAAGACGTTGCAACTGTACTCAAAATGGGTTTCTTCATACAGAAACTTCACAGAGAAATCGAGCACATACACTCAAAATCAATGCAGACAAAAAATAAGCAACTCTACCGAGGCCAAGGTATTTCAACTCTTGACCTTGAGAAATTGAAGAAGAGTGAAGGTGGACTTCTTTCATTTAATAATTTTCTTTCCACAAGTGCAAACTATCAAGTATCGTATCTGTTTGCTGATAGTGTTCGAAGCAATCCTGATGGAATAGGAATCATCTTTGAAATCGAATGCGGACCAAATAATACATCGATTCCTTTCGCTTCATTGGATAATTTTAGCGTACATTCGGATTTTGAAAATGAAATTCTCTTTTCAATGCATACCGTATTCCGGATTGGAGAGCTGGAACTCATCGAAGATCGACTATGGTATGTTAAGTTGACATTGACTAATGACGAGGACGAACAACTCAGACGTCTCACCGATTATATACGCTCAGAAACAAAAGAATTAACAGGTAAACATCGACTAGGTACAATGATGATCAAAATGGGAGAATTCGACAAGGCTCATCTATTCTTTCAAACGTTACTTCAAACAGTACCTAACGACGATTGGACAACTTGCGCTCATCTACATCAACAACTGGGGTCGGTTCTTCAAAGTAAAGGTAATGGATCGCTGGCATTGTCAAACTATTACAAAGCTCTTCAACTCATACAAAATGGTTATCCATCAGTTTATCCTTTAGTAGCATTGACCTATAATCACATTGGTGAAACACACGAGTCCATGGCGAACTACTCAAATGCATTATCGCATTTTGAAATAGCACTTGAGTTACAACAAAAATCATCTGCAGTCAAACAATCTGATCTCGCAATGACTTATAATAATCTTGGTGCTGTGCATCAATCAATAGGGAATCATGAAACTGCATTGTCATATTATAAAAAGTCGCTTGAGATCTTTGAAAATCTTCTTCCATCTACTCATCCCGATATTGCAAATGCCTTGAATAATATCGGTACACTATATTTTTACATGGGGGACCTTCGAAATGCACAAAACTACCATTTACAGACATTAAAAATCCAAGAAAGATCTCTTCCGTCAACTCATATACATCTGGCAACGACTTATAGTAACCTGGGATTAGTGCATGATGCAATGGGAGATTACATCAGTGCCTTATCATACTACGAAAAGGCGCTAACAATCCGTCAGACAGTTTTTTCCTGCACCCATCTGTCTGTAGCTGATACCTATGACAATATAGGAGGCGTACATCGGTCCATGGGTGACTATCCTTCTGCAATATCATATCATGAGAAGGCACTTGAAATTAAAAAAAGTATTCTTTCATCAAATGCTTTCGATTTATGCTCAACTTACAACAGCATTGGTATTGCATATAAATTAAACGGAGATTATTCGACTGGACTCTCATTCTATGAAAAAGTACTTGAAATCAAACAAAAATATCTTTCACCGAATCATTTTCTATTTGCTATCACCTATAACAATATTGCTTCAGTGCATCAACTGATCGGCAACTATTCGATTGCATTAACACATTATGAGAAAGCTCTTAAAATTCAACGAAACGGTCTTCCATCAAATCATATTGATTTAGCTACAACCTACAGTAATATTGGATCGGTTTATTACTCCTTTGGAGATTTCACTAATGCATTCTCTCACTATAAACAAGCACTTAGTATTCGACAAAGTATGCTGCCATCTATTCATCCCGATCAAGCTACAGCTTTTAAAAGTATTGCAGATGTCTATGAAATGATGGGAGAATATTCAAATGCACTTTCATACTATCAAAAATCTCTTGACATTATACAAAAATGTCTTACATCGCCGCATCCAACTTTGGCAGCGATATACAACCACATGGCTTGTGTATATCAATCGATTGGGGAATATTCAACTGCACTGTCCTACTGTGGAAAAGCACTTGAAATTCAAGAAAAAATATATCCATCGAGGCATTTCGAACTAGCAAGTACTTATAATAATTTTGGTGCATTACAACATTTACTAGGAAACAATTCAACGGCATTATCATATTACCAGAAAGCTCTTGAAATCCAGCAAAAATCGTACTTACCTAATCATCCAAATATTGCCACTACTTACAACAATGTTGGTTACATTTTTTGTCTAATGGGTGATCATGCGCGTGCACTATCGTACTTTAACAAAGCATTAAATATTCAAGAAGAAGTTCTTTGCTCTACTCATCCATATAAAGCTCGAACTCTCACTAATATTGGTATGGTGTATCAATCCATGGAAAATTATCTAACCGCACTCTCATTTCATCAAAACGCACTTGAAATTCAACGAAAACAATATTCACCAACTCATCCAGATTTTGCTGCTACATATGCATGCATTGGTTCTGTGTATCACTCCATGAACAAGCTTTCAGATGCACTATCGTATTACAGGAAAGCGTTAGAAATTCAAGAGCACGGTTTTTCTCTTACTCATCCTAATTTAGCTGTGACCTACAACAATATCGGTAGTGTGCATAATTCTCTTCGAGAATATTCTGCTGCGCTTTCATATTACGAAAAATCACTTGAAATCCGAGAGAAAGTTCTTCCTTCTACGCACCCTGATCTGATAAAAACATATATCGAAATAGCATCAGTACACAATTCGATGGGGCACTATTCTATTTCACTATCATATTATAAGAAGACACTTGAAATTCAAGAAAAATTTCTTCCATCTAATCATCTTGATCTAGTGAAAACATATAACAATATTGCTTCAATTTATCACTCGATGAAAGAGTATTCGACCGCACTATCTTACTTTGAAAAAGCACTTACAATAGCCGAAAATGTTTTGCCACCGAACTATTCATTATTAGTTACAATTTATAGCAATATTGGTGCATTACAATGCATTATTGGAAATCATACAATTGCACTGTCATATTTTCAGAAGGTATGCGTAATTCAACAAGAAAACGATTCAAGTTCTCTTGTAAAACTTGTTGAAGTTTTTAATAATATTGCTTCAGTGTACGAGTGCATGGATGATTATTCCAACGCATTATTATATCGTGAGAAAATAGTTGAAATTCAAGAAAACACATCTCCAACCGATTATTGTGAACAAGCAACATCCTTCGATAATATTGCCAGGCTATATCAATCAAAAGGAAATCATTCAGCTGCCCTTACATATTATCAAAAGTCACTTGAAACTCGAAAAAAATTTGTTTCATCGAATGATACATCACTAGTCATGGTGTATAACAATATTGGTGACATGCATCATTCACTTGGAAACTACTCATCAGCACTCTCGTCCTACCAAAAACTACTTGACATCGAAGAAAAAACTATTTCATCTACTGATCCAGACTTAGCCATAACGTATAACAATATAGGTTCAGTTTATGACTCAATCGGAGACTATTCTACTTCACTGTCATACTATCAAAAAGCACTTAAAATTGAAGAAACCGTTCTCTCACCAATTGATCCAAATCTGGCAACAACATATAACAATATCGGTTCAGTTAATCTTTCGATGGGAGACTACTTGACTGCAATGTCATACTATAAAAAAACACTTCAAATCCGACAAAATATTCTTCCACCCATTCATCTTGATATGGCCGCAATATTTAATAACATTGGTTCGGTACATAGAATGATGGAAGACTATATGAATGCACTTTCATACCATCAAAAAGCACTTGATATTCAACAGAAAATTTTACCATTCAATCATTCTGATCTGGCAACGACCTACAATAACATTGGTGCAGTGTATAATTCACTAGAAAAATATTCATCTGCACTTTCAAATTTTGAGAAAGCATTGGAAATTGAACAGAAAGTACTTCCGCCCATTCATCCCGATGTAGCTACTACCTACAATAATGTTGGCGCTGCGTATGATGCAATGGGAGATCAACCGAATGCTCTATTGTACTATAAGAAAGCACTTGATATTCAAGAACAAATTTTGCCTGTTGACCACCCAGATTTGTCTGCAACATACAACAATATCGCCATAACATATGAGTCCTTAGAAGAATATTCTACAGCGCTTTCTTATTACGAAAAAGTGCTTCAAATAACAGAAAAATCTCTTTTTCCTGGCCATGTTCCATTGACGACAACCTACAACAATATCGGTTCGGCGTACAAAAATCTGGGAGACCGTGTGAATGCACTCTCATATTACCAGAAAATGCTCAAAATTCAAGAACAAACTCTGTCGCCGACTGACCATGATCTCGTAATAACGTATAGCACGATTGCTGAGATATATATTTCCATGGGAGAATACTCCTCTGCACTTCCATATTGTCAAAAGAAACTCGAAATCGGAGAAAAAACACTTACATCAACTGATCTTCGACTGGCAACAATTTACAACATGATTGGCTTATTACAACAATGGTTGGGAGATCATACGAATGCCCTCGCTTATTTTGAAAAGACACTTCGAATCCAGGAGAAAGCACTTCCATTCGCTCATACATCACAAGCAGTAACTCATTTCAATATTGCAACGGTTTTCGAAAAAATCCATCAATATAAAGAATCTGTTGAGCATACAATACAAGCAGTTAATATTGTGCGTTATCGATTTGGATCTGATCATCCTCACGTAAAGCTATGTGAGAAATATCTTGATCATCGTCGTAAAAATCTTTAGCATCAACCGTATATGCTTGCTCATACGTACAAATCTATCTGATCGAAATTAAATAGAAACGTTAAAAGAAAAAGAATTGGCTTGATCTACGCTAATAACTTATTATCAGCAGCAACTTCATTCATAATATAGCCCTTTCTCTAGTACATATACTGATGTCAATTACGTGTTAAAGTACTTGATTCTGTATTGTAGAAAGCAATTCGGTGTGAATGTTTTTCTCCCTTCACCCACATCAACACTGATACATACATTTATCGTACTTCAATTGATTTTCGAAGGATTCACTCCATAGTTTTCTATAAATTAATATAAAACTCTTGCTTTGGAGCTTGAAGGATAAAACAATATATCAATAATAGTGTGAAGCTTCAAAAAACTTGTCGGATGGGTAAGCTTTTCTCTGATGATCCAGATTTCTTATTCACTAAAACACTCTTAAGATGACTTCGATCTCAGGTATCTCTTAAAGTGGTTTCGAAAAATCGCAAATAAAATACATCATTTATACTGAGTTTAGAACACATTCAATGAAATTTTTATGGCAAAATCGATAGTAAGTCTAACTGTCTTGATTTCTATGAGAATGAAGGATGCCATTCTTGGAGATTAGTCTTCTTTCCACTCATCTTCACTTTCACTCACCGTCTAGAACTGACAATCTCTATTTTTAAACAAAAATAGTAACAAATATCTATGTTGCCTTGCTCGACAAGTTTTTATTAGTCGATAAACCTTGCGAATACTATTCTATTTCTAACGGCTACGAACATTCCACTTAATCTAAATAATTTAACTAACTTGCAGCAATGTGCAATTTCTTAGAGGATATACAATCAATTGAATCATATGGCATTACGTGAAGTCAATGAAAATTTGGAATCAGTTGATCGTAAATTTAATAATAATCATATCAGCTGCTTGTATTTATTCAAATAAAATTTCGGAAATTCTTTCGTTGATTAAAATCCAACACTCCTTTTATATCATAAGTTTTAATAATATTAATAAGCAAAAATTGAAAACGATTTATTCGATCTGACCTTTTTTTACAAACTATCACATTCATATTCTATTTTTTAATACTAAGGTTAAGTTGTGTATTGCATATAAACTGTTGTTAGCTTGATTATACCAAGCAACCGAAAATTCATCTCGTTCATTGATACTTTTCTTTACTTGAAATTATTCATCATTTTCCTATGAATGTCTTGAACTATCAAGCATTTTAATTTAAGGGTCAGCCTCAAATTGGTAAAGTATTATTGGTTCAGTGACATTTGCAAATTTTACTTTAAAATGATATGCACAAGCAACAACTTGTTGAACAACTAAAATAAATAATAAAATTAAATAAAATTAAAAAAATTTTGTTAAATAGTATAGTATCATCTGCAGCTTGTAGTGATCATCGTACAAGTGAGATTCATTGAGAATTAGATACAGCAGAACAAAGTAGTGAAGTAATAGATATATGAATATGAATGTGGTTTACTATGAGTTTCTGCATTATATGAAGATTTCAGTACGACAAAACTCGACCTAGGTTCAGTGGACTTAGGGATGTGGGTATACTAGTGTGGTTGAAGAAAAGACCTACAATCACAGCTGCAGCCACACCCTTCATGGAAAGCCGAAATAAATTAATAGTAATGTTGTGCAAACAATAAAAAAGAACTGTTGAACAAAATTAGGAAATATTAAAGATAAACGACCATTTTCGAGACTCTGATTATGCAATTTTGTAAGTTTATAGTGTTTGTATTCTGTGTAAAAGAAATCAAGTACAAACCATTCGTAAAACAGGAGAAACATGAATTTCAATTTTATCAAGATAATTTTCCATTAATCGTTACACGAAAGCGCAATAGAACACATTTGAAATTTGGCTTAGAAGTAGAACGAAACAACATCGAATGTAATCAAGGTACATATAGTATCCTTCTTGAATAATTATTCACATTATATAAGTAAAAGGTTATTGGTAATCATAAGACCAGAAGTAGTAACAATAGCCTGTCATATATCACTAGAAGCGGACTGTATGATCAGTCTTTTCTTTTACTCATATGAGAATTCACTCGTTATATAAACAAATAAATTACTTTTTTCAATAGATGATCAGAAATTTCAGATAAGATACTAAAACTTGTTCACCGAATCGAATGATGAAAACTACTTTATCAGCTTTCTTTTTTTTTCTAATCTCAATATCATCTAACTGAACAATCAGTATTTTAGAGATCAGCTAGTAGCATAAACAAAGAAAAAGAAGGTATATCCCTATTACTCACTATGTGAAACTCAAATGAACAATTCTTATATATATATATATATATGCCTTCATGCATTTCCGTTCTTTTATTGTCAGCACTTCTTTTAATTGCATAAGATTTAACCATATGGTGAAGCAACATCTATTGCATAAAGATTATAAATAAAATTTTATGCTTATATTACTTTTATCCATCTGAGTATCATCAATGTGTTATAAAACAACTCAATTATATCTCCTGTGTATGATCGTTGAGTGTAATTTGACTTTTTCTTTATTCTGGAAAAGATTAATTAATCTATTAGTTTAGATTATAGATAGTATAGCACGACATTTGATTCTAATATAAAAGAATGAAAGAGTTTGAAAAGTATCTTAATTAAACATGGAACACTAGAATATTTCCTTTTGAATCTATGGCAAACGCTAGAAAGAAACATGTCTTATTTGAATCATCCCAGCTATCATTGTGTCATCGCAAATCAGTTCATGTCATTCAATTCTAATATAACTTCAACGATGAATAGGTTATTCGAATTCTTCAATGTAATTTCACTTTGTTCGATATTATCTTTTTCTATATTTATTTACATTCTTTTCGATAATCTTTGCTCAGTCCATTTTTTAAAAATAATATAAGAAAAATGTTAACTTTTTTTTCTAATCAATACAAATTTGAAACTATATCAAAAAGAAAAGAAAAACTAAAGACACAAATAGCTACATGTTTCAACTATATCAGAAAAGAAAAAAGTGAAAAACCATTCAGCTACGACACTTTAAACTAAATAGGAATATTTTTTCTATAAAATAATACTATGTGAAAAACTATTTAATTATTGGTAGCCGATTGAGAGCGTGATTAAAACACGACCAGGACTCATCCCCGTCATATATTTGATTTTTATTTTGTTAGTCTACACAAAAACACACATAAGCCACATTAGTCTTGCGTTGAAGGAAAAAGAGTGCTCTACTATAGTTAACTGTTCGTTTACTTTCTCTTTCGATGAAATATATCTTAATCTTCAAGCAGGACCAGAAAACCCCATGTTCACATCTAATTATTTTTCATATTGAATCATATATATATATAAAGGGTGTCCCGGAAGTTCTGAAACGATTTTAAAATTCATCGTTCTCAAATTCAACAAACGCAAACTCTTTGAAACTTTGACATATTATTGCACATATGTAGTGCCACATAACTACAAAGTTTGAGGTCTATAGGTTCTACTATAGAGGAGAACCTGTAACAATACTATGATGTNCGATATCAACGAGTATATACACGTAAACTCTACATTAAACCCGAACAAATTGACTTCAACGATTATTCCAATGAAGAAAATGAAGACCTAGAAGCAGGATGTGGAAATTCATGTATTGATCCTCTCATTGTCAAAGCCAACGACAAAAAAGAGTAAGAAAAAATCCATTTAATCGAGCAAAACAAATATATTGCTCATAGAGACGATAGTGAAACTAGTCTGCCGACTTCACCATCATCATCATTTCCATTACCAAATGCAATAGATCAGACGAACTCTCAATACCATTTTATGAACAACTATGAAAAGAGTGCCAATGACGTATCACAGATAGTGCTCAACAAAATCAATTCCATCGCATCAAGACAACAATTTGATAGTCTTACTATCTCGGTAGGTGCACATTTCGATATATTTTACATTCATTTGATGCCATTGTATATTTAGGAAAGTGTTGATGTGGACAAGAATAATGTTGATGTGCTAACAGCCATTACTACCAATGCTGCTATTTAGCGAAAGAACATTAATCTGATACCTGGTGTTTCGTTTTTACTACGAATCATTACAAATCAGTAATTGAGAACAAGAAGCAAATACCTAGGATAGTTTTATGCTCAATACAGGATTACGAGAGAGATCGTTGTATCGTTTACAGCTATATAGTCTCATGATGAAACGAACGATTGCTTCTCTGCTTGTAATATGTTGCAGCCTCATTGCACTACTAGTACACAGTATATAGTGAGAGTATGGGTGTGGGGTATGGGTATGAATGGGTGTTAGAATGAAAGTAAGATCCACACCCCCACATGCAATGATCTCTTTCCAAATCAAGAAATCCTATTGAGGCTTCCATATTCTGAAAGTTTTCTATTTCGTTTATATAATACATCATTCGAACAACTCAATAGAAGGATTATCTATCATTTTCGTGATCATAAATGCAGTGAAATCATATGTTACACTTCGATAAAATTGCAATAGAATTCCGACATGTTCGTCAAACGGTTGATTTGTTCTCGAAAGTCGTCACCACCCTTATATCCTCTACTTCTGCATGCAGACAACATCTTTTGTGATCTAGTATTCAACTATTACTATTCCTATCTCAATCATCAAGTGGGTTCTAGTGAATAGTAAAAAGAAATATTTCCTATTCGATTTTTATCATTTTCGATTTTAGCGAATAATTTCTTTCTTGATTTGACTTTCTATGCTGCAATTCCGAAAGAAAATTCTCCGCAATCATTTCTCATTGTGTTGCACACGTCAATCGAAAGTATCTTTTTGAATAAGAGTCCATACAGTGTGAGAGTAGACCATCTTGTTTTGATGCAATCGAAACATTTGAGATTGAATTTGAATCTGAACAGCTATAAAGTTATTGGTAATTCGCAAGCATTTATAAGATTTATTGTGTATGGTGCCAACGATTTCGGTGACATCGCAGA